ATACTAATTATTGAGAACCCAAACTATTTACATTATGTTTAAAGACAAAAAAATATAACGAGATTATGTTAATCTAACCTTTAAATTAAGCGAAATTGCAGAGAAGAGCGTTGTGTAGCTTGTTTTTATATATTTTTCCAATGGGAGATTGATTTGGACAAGTAAATAGCGTGTGGACTTGTACTAGTCAATATGGCTAGCTAGAAATACACGTTAAGAGGAAGAAATTGAAATCTTATCCAAAAATTAATATCATTTAGTGTCCTTTTCTTGTTCATTAATTAATATGTAACATGCCTGCCAGCACACTCTTAATTGATATCTTATCACAGAAAATCAGATTATATAACTACTATTAATTAATTTGTCAGTATGCCTCTGACAAAAAAAATTGTCAGCATGCATTACAATTTTCATGTACATTGTTTGACATTATTTTCTTCTTTAATTCACTCAAAATATGAAAATATCAAGGGTAGAGAGAGAGAGAGAGAGAGAGATGAGGTGAGACACCTATTTCCTCATATAAAACCTGTAACCCCACAACAATAATGCCTGGATATATGTATATACACATATCAAAACTGGAATATTCAGATTTATAATTAAATTATATAAATAGAGAATATACATATATAGGAGCCATCTTACTTGAACAAGATAGACAAGTTAGTGAGAGTCAACTTTTGACTTCTTTGTAGGACACATGTGGCACATACATTCTGCTTCAGACAAATCACGTATACGTCAACACTTAGAAATTTTCAACATTACATACTAATGTTAGATTTCTCCCACCTACATCCATCTATTAATTATACTTCCTCTCATTTCAATTCTCAGTAATAGTGTTATTCCTCATTTCTTCTAATCCTTCTCATAGCTTCTTCTTCTTCTACTCTACTTCTTCCTCTCTCCTCCCTCCTCCGTTGATATACGAGCAGACCAGTAGCTATGATGCGAGCTCCAAGATATTCCCTCACCCTCTTTCTTCTTGTCCTTGTCGTTTTGTCTGAAACGCAGCGTTCAACTTCAACCTCTCGTTCCGTCGTCATCATCAGCCGTGGAGGTTCAGAAACAAAGCCGGATTCTTCATCAATGTTCATCAAGAGGTATTCTGCTATTCTCTCCTCCTTCGCCCCTTGAAGAAGAAGAAGAACGATTATAAGTCGAAGCAGATTCATATGCGTCATGTTTCTCACAGGCTCGTCCCTTCTGGACCAACCCTCTTCATAATTGATCGCTTTGCCTATGATCGAAGATATATATATATATATATATATGTATATCTGTATGTATGATAATGTAATGGATCAGACTAGAAGATTAAAGCTTATTTAAGCAGCTGAGTATGTCGTGTGTGTGAGTGTGTATATATAGTTCACTTCAGTACTCTGAATCTATGTTATACTTCTGTGGGTGTGTTTTTTCAAATTAAAATCCTTTTAGGTTTCTTCTGGTGAGAGTTCTGTAACAGATCAATGGTCATTCTAGTTTCGGTTTCCTGTAAATGGTTCTCTCCGGTGGGTGCTTCTTTCTGTTAGGAGCTCCATTATAATATATTATGATAGGGACTAATTACTAATTTATAAATTAAAAGTTAGTCATAAGCACGGATTAGTTGATCTGAGCTTTGAAACTTAAAGGCGAAATACTCCCTCGGTTTTTTTTTTTTTAAAAAGAAACATCTTTATTAACTATTTCATAGTAACTATGAAAAAGTAGTTAAAAATTATTTATATTATTAAAAATGATTAAAAAAATAGTACTATTTTCTCATATCGCATTATGAGAAGAATTTAATGGTATTGACAGTTTACAGAGTTTCGTATATTTTGGACTAATAATAGTTGGTAAACGATGTCCTATATTGAAGCTATATGATAAACTCATTGAAATTAACATGTAATTCTTCTAGTAGAGGTTGAAAAAAATGTATAGTAAGAATTGAAGCTCCACACGCCAAAAACAAAGTCAGCAGTCAAGCTTGACACTCTACGTATATTAATGGATCAGACTAGAAAAATTAAAGCTGGAGAGCAGTTGAGTATTTTTTATTTATATATATATATATATATATATATATTGTTCAGTACTCTGATTCTATGTTATACTTCTGTGGGTGTGTTGTTTCAAAGTAAAATTCTTTCAGATTTCTTCTGGTGAGAGTTCTGAAACAGGTTGGTGTTCATTCTAGTTTCAGCAGTTTCCTGTAAATGGTTCTCTCTGGTGGGTGCTTCTTTCCGTTAGGAACTCCATTATAATATATTATGATAGAAAAGGACTAATTACCAATTTATAAGTTAAAAAGTTAGTCATAAGCACGGATTAACTGATTTGAGCTCTGAAAAAAGACAAAGGCGAAATACTCTCCCCCGGGTTTAACAAAATACGGAACACCTTCTATTAACTACTTCATAGTAATTATGAAAAAGCAGTTAAAAGTGGTTTATATTACTAAAAATGGTATAAAAAAAAGTAATAGTACTATTTTCTCATATAACCTTCCAATTTATTTTAATTATCTTTGATGTCTTGTTATAAGAACTTCCTATATTTTTGAAGTAATAATAATTGGTACAATATGTCCTATATTATTTAGAAGTAGAGGAAGTATGGGCCAAGTCATTGAAATTTAGATGTAATTCTTCTAAAAGGTTGAAAAACGGTATAATAAGACATTGAAGCTCCGCACGCCGAAAACAAAGTCAAGCAGTCAAGCTTGACACTCTACGTATTTGATTACTGCCCATTCAAGGGGCAGATGGGAGTTTATTGTTTTCATTGAAGTTCAACATACTAATTTTATAGTAGTATTAATTAAAATGATGAGGGGTAAAGGTGAATTAACAAAAAAAATAATATTTTATTGTAATTCATGGGTGAAATTATTTTTTTCTCACAAGATTTTTGTGCTTTAATAATAATTATTTTAATTTTTAAAAATAGGAGTATCTTTATCAGTTGGAACTAATCTCTCTCAATATATATAAAAGAAAAAAATATTTTTTTCTAAATAGATTTGTTTCATATGAAATGTTAGAAATTAAACTTTCAATAATTATCTACTTAAGAGGAGAATTCTCACAATTCATGTAAAATTGAACTGGTCGTATTTTTAATTTTAAAGTTAATTCATACTTAATATTTTGATTCTCTTGAATGCCATTAAAGTGGAGGCTCCCGTGTGCTTAGAATGAGGCTTGGAGACTCATAACGGGAGGCCCAAGTCCAGTACAAAGGAAGGGAGGGGCGATTTAGGGGGAATTGAGAGAGAGCGGGGCCATATATGAAAACCCTTAAATACAAATACGAGAAAGTAAAAGGGGTTTAGGTAAAAGAGGAGTGTGAGGAAGGAGTAGGACAGACGGAGTGGAGGAAGGAGCTAAATAATAAAGGGAGGAGCGACTGAGCGTTATGATGTCGAAAACTGAGCACGTGAGCACTGACTCTGAGCAATGCTCCCCTGCTTCGCCAGTCGCCACCTCACCTTTACTCCCATATGCGCCTTCCCTTCAACTCTTCCCTTAACTTCTTTCCTCTCAATTTTACTGGCTCCACCCTAAATATAAGAATATAAGAATTTTTTTTCTAAATATAATATTCGAGTTGATTTTATCTTCTAAATTATTTTTCTGAATTCTTCTTATTAATTATTCATATCAAGTGTCGGGAAAACAAAAATATATATAAGTATGTTTTCATCAAAAGATAATTTTTAATATAAATAATTAAATAGGGTATTCCAAGAAAATCAACACATATTGTTAATAAATAGTTAACTTAATTAATTTTATTAATCAATATAAATGGGTTACCTAACTCTTTTATATATATATATATATATATATTTGCTAAACAAACGTATTTTCCTATTAGAAGTAATAATATTCGAGAATCTGTCAGATATTAAATATAAGCATATTTCCTAACAAAAGTTTAAATCCTGATTCACCACGTTATAAGAAACTAACCATTTCTATTAGTGATGTCAGTACTGTGCCTTAGAATTGGTAAAATTATATTTAACCCCATTAATTTATGTCCCGGTAAATGAGTCCAGAAATGTAATAAAATTGGACAGGATGATCATATCCTCAAAATGGGATATGTATGGCTTTTAATATATCCGTTTGCTACAAGAGTATTAACTGAATGCCAAATCAGTTTTTGAATCAATTTATTAATATATTTAATTTATTACGTTTTATAATTATTATTTTTAGATTTAATCACAAGGACATGGAAAATATAGAGTATATATATTTTCCAGTGCATGCCGTGAAACTAAACTCATTTCCTTAAATTGATATCAAGCGAATCATGAATATAAGAGTACTCATTTTGTTTTCAAAGTCATACACTAATCTTGTTCTTATTTAAAAATAAAAAATAAAATAAAACTATGGTTTGACTGGAAATTTTGATTAAAAAAATATTTTTATTACAAAAGGGAATATAAAAGTGCATGATTAGGCTTACTCTTAAGATACCCATGATTATGTGGCCTTAGAAAGGTCAATAGTTGAGCTTCCAACAAAGAAACAAGTCCCAATCTTGAAAATGCAAATAAAATAATAATAATAACGGCCCAAATCACCGGGTAAAAGACTAAAAAGGCATATATGAATGGATAAATTGAAGATCCATTGAAGTACAAGAAAGAGCAGTTGCAGAACATGGCTAAAGAAAACACTTTAACGGGAGAATGAAGAAGAGAGAGAGAGAGAGATATATATATAAATATATATATATATATATATTATATTTATATAAAAATAAACAAAGATGCCCAATTCCCAGGGGAAGTTTGGCACCACGTGGGTGTTGCAAGTTCGCCTTTTTTGAGGGCCTGACTCGGAGGCAGGCGCACTCAAGACTCCGACACTTCAAGCACAAACACCAATCACGAGACATACTGCCTCGCAAGCAAGCTCTCGACAGAATCTCCATTCCCGGGCTGTTTCCGCCGGCAGACGGACCAACAGGGGAATGGCCGACTCTAACTCCGAGGACCGGCTGCCTCCGGGTTGGACTGTGGAAGTGAAAGTGAGGAAGAACGGTAAGAAAGACAAGGTAATTGAAGTTCGCCTGCTTGCTTTTGTTACGAGGGTATATCTTTAGAAATGTGAGATCTCTTACCTCTGGTTGCCATGAGCTTCTTCTGTTTGGCCGGAGTGAGATTCGGGACTTCGTTGCCTCAACATGGACAACATTTGAGGAGTTGGGATGTTTTTTCTGTCTCATATTTGCTCAAGGGTATATTGTGGTGGCGAGCTAGGTTTTCGCTGGTTTTTCAGAAATTTTCAAGCCAGAGTCTTGGTTTTCAAGCTATAAGTGGCTGCAGTTTGCGCGGTTAATCGGAAAACGAAATTTCTATGTTGCTTACATTTCGGTTAAATCTGTTATTTGCATGTTCTATAAGGACATTTTGTACCTTGTTTCTTGTACCTCAGTTGAAGTTTTTAAATCAAAATCGTCTGTGGCTGTTCTTTCTCTGTGATTACGGAGTCAGAGGGAAGCAATATAGGAAGAGTATTACAGGTCCTCCCTCCTCTGACTGTTTAGGTTAAGAACCTATGAAAGGGTTTTGAATGTTTGTGAACATGTTTTGAGTTTATGAAATCGGCTAAGACGAATGAGGTGCTTCTTCTGGAAGCAGTATTCCAACAGATGCATGCGAAATTTTGTACATTTCTGTATAATATTTGATTCCTGAGAATTTTACCGCTCTTAGCAGTTTTTAAATTTCATTTTCCTGTTTACGAAGTTTGTAATTTTCATTGAAACTATGTATTCTGAATCCTGTTCGCTTATTTTCCAGAGGGAATTGCACCTTAAGTGAGAGTGTCATCTTTTGCCCGTCGATAAGAGAGTCATCTTTACCTTGATGCCAATTACATGATATTACATTCCATCCATCCAGCCAAACTAGCTGTGGAGAAGTCTAATTAGCACGCCCAATGTGCTCTATTTCTTATAGCACTGTGTAGGATGCCCTTTTTTTTTTTACCCCAAAAAAGAAAAGAAAAGATATTAAGACATGCATACTTTATGTTGACGGCACCATATTGTAACACACGCATACATACATAAGTTTATTGGACATATATTGATATTTTATGTAGAGCACGTGATCGTGTAATATTTTTTCTCATTGAAATGGTGTTCATCCAGCTGTGAAACCTATGCTGGTGCTAAGTTCAATTATCTACTGACATGTTCAATCTGAGGTATCCTTTTTCAAAATCCCATATCATATTTGCTCCCATTTTAACATATGTCCTGGTTAATGATGGCAAAATAAGTACTAAGTAAACAAACTTTTATCTTTTTTGTCTTTAGCCATTGCTTTGCAGTATTTTAATAATTAAAAGAGCCAGAAGGACATTTAGGCATCTCTAAATGACCATTTTCAAAGATGGTTCAGCTTAAATCTTATGAAATTCATACTTATTGCAGTTTTACTTTTCTCCTTCAAGTGGACTTAGGTTTAATTCCATGGTAGAGGTTTCTCATTATCTTGACAAAGTTCAGAACAATCATGTCAGCGTCACAAGCAGTTCAAAAAATGTCTGTCTACAAATCCTCTTTTGATGATCATATATTGTCTGTCAAACATCTATCTGGTCCTATCGACTAATGTGGGAAAACTTTGCTTCTTTAAGCAATGTAGGTTGTAATTGAGAAAGGTGTTGCAGAAGGATTACCAGAAGGATGGATCAAAAAGACCAGAGTCACAAAAAAGAGTTCTACAGTAAGAAGAGATTCGGTAAACATTATTATCCCACCTTCTATTGAATGAAAATGCTTCCCAATTAGTTTTCATGTAAGCATTTTTAATATTTTGTATTTTAGCTTCTGAAGTTCTACCAATTGTGATGCATATTACTATGTCTTTTGAGCTCTTGAAAGTGGAAGTTATATCTTATATTTTAAGCTGTTAATTTGTCTTGAGGATTAATTCACTTCAAATTATATGCTGAATCTGCAATACTACATTGATCCTGTAAGTGGGTATGTATTCCAATCTATAAAAGATGCTGTACGCTATCTTGAATCTGGGGAGATAGGAAGAAATGCATTCAAACCAAAAGATAAAAGCGGCAGAGATATAGAATTGAAAGATGACATTTTCTCTGTAAGGGCGGCTATTATTTGAGTTCTTCCGCTTTATATGCTTACTTAGTGTCTTAAGATAAACCTTAACTTCCTTCCATCCATCATTTGGCTTTCCTGGTGTGTCAAAATGCTCTCAACTAGCCATGTCAAAATTGGAAAAGGGACTATTTAATAGCCCAGCACTTGCGAACACGATTTTAAACTTCAATGGACTATAGCTGAAACTGCTACGTGATTAGCTTTGTTTTCTTTTCATTTGGGCTTTTCTTCTGTTTTTCCTTTCCATAGATGAGATTACAACCAAGTATTAACAGGAACAAGTTCAACATAGTGCATTGCCACGCCCTGACAGCCCCCAAAAATCCCATAAATATTAATGGACATCTAACAACATCGAACAATCTGACATGTGCTGTTTGAAGGTCTGCTTCTTGAATGAACTCTTCTTCTAATGTCTACGGACAATTCTTATGATAGTTTAAGTTGTCTCATCAGCAAAATGACCTTGTATTGGTTGAACTGGTTGACTGTGGACTGGGAGATTCACATATAGTAGAGGCTCTTGCTCTTTTCAGGTTGGCTTTTATAATGTGCTTTTGTCTATGTCACTAGCACCTTGAAAACTCGTACTCATTCAGGAACTGGTGGTTGCTATTTCACTAGGATCTGCTTGTCCTGGGCATTCTGTGTTGGATTTGGCTACCGTTTGAAATCTATCAAACTGGTAGTGATTGTCTCCTTCAAGAAAGAATATGAGCTTCTTTGGAACACTATAAACATTCAACACTCAAAAATCATGTTAAGAAATAATGATTTTTCCTAATAAATCATATGTGTCTTGACACGTCAGCCATATTAGGAAATACAGTATAGTTCTTTTTTGTTTTTGGCAATCAATTTGCGTAGACGTATTAGTATTAATATTACCTAGTGAAACCATCTTTGACTGTAGCCATATGAAACATAAAAATGTATGAATGCTTGGTAATAATATGACAGTCAATATTTACTGTGGAAATAACAGTTTAGATCTGCTCAAGACAATGTCCTATTTCCTTTAAGTTGTCTTTGGCTGTTGGAAAGTGTGCAATCATAGGTGGATTGTTAGGATAGGTAAAAAGAGAGAGTAACAGGGAGAAAGAGAGGGGAAAAGAGAAGGGAGGAAAAGGAGAAAAGATAGGTGGGAACCAGAATCTAGTTCCAAGGAGACCAAGACATCTGAATAATACTTTTCTGACTTCCATAACTGAATAAGACAGTACATTAAATAGCCTAATACATCAACTGATAGTAACTACCTTAGTCTGGAAACTGACATAAACTAACCTTATCCAAACATAGAAAACTGACGCAATAAAACATAATTAAAGTAAAAGACTATCAATTGTTACGTCCCCTCCTAGAATAAACCAACAAGGGTCGTTTGCTCCTATCAATACCCTCCCCTAGGAGAACAGCCTTGTCCTCAAGGCGAAAATGGGGAAATTGAGTGGCAATCACATCATAAGCTTCCCAACTATTCTCCTCTAAAGGTCTGTTCTTCCACTGAACCAATAGCTCAAGATGTTGCTGGCCCTCCACTAAACGAACGCGGCTATCCAGAATCGTGTCAGGTTCAAGTAACATTTCCCAGTCATCAGAGATTGGTAGAGGAGACAGGGAAGCAGAGGAATCACAACCGTGTGCTAGCTTCAATAAAGATACATGGAAAACTGGGTGAATTTTCGCTGTAGCAGGCAGTTGTAACTCATAAGCAGCATTGCCTATCTTCCTCAGAACTGGATATGGGCCGAAGAAACGAGGGGATAATTTATCAAAGCGACGAGAGGACAATGAGTGTTGGCGATAAGGCTGCAACTTGAGGAAAACCATATCACCTGGTGCAAAAGAAACATCTCGTCTCTTAGAGTCAGCTTGAAGTTTCATCCGATCCTGGGCAACTTTGAGGTTGTCTTTAATGGTAGATAGAAAAGCATCCCTCTCCAAGAAAAAGGTCTCCAAGTCTGCAATTCTAGTATCCCCCTCTTTATAAGGCAGCATAGAAGGAGGATCTCGTCCATACACTATCTTAAATGGGGTAGAACCAGTTGAAGTATGAAACCCAGTGTTATATGAAAGTTCTGCCCAGTGGAGAAATTGAAACCAAGTCTTTGGGTGTTCTTGAGAAAAGCATCGGAGGTAAGTTTCAAGGCATCTGTTGACCACTTCAGTTTGGCCATCAGTTTGAGGATGATATGCCGTGCTCATCCTTAATTGAGTGCCACTCAAACGAAAAAGCTCTTGCCAAAAAGCACTTAGGAAGATAGTGTCACGGTCAGAAACAATGGACTTAGGAATCCCATGATGACGAACAACTTCACGGCAGAAGACAGCGGCAACAGTTTTGGCATTAACAGGACGATGGAGACCAAGAAAGTGACTATATTTGCTGAATCTGTCAACAACAACCAGAATAGTATCCATTCCATTTGACTTAGGCAGAGCAGTAATGAAGTCCAGAGAAACATCTTCCCAAATATTAGCAGGGATAGGTAAAGGCTGTAAAAGTCCAGAAGGAGACAAAGGTAAATATTTATTCCTTTGACAAACCTCACAATGCTGCACAAAGTCTTTAACCTCCTGTTTCATATTCCTCCAAAAGTAAAGTTGTTGCAGACGCTTTAATGTCTTCAAATGGCCTCCATGACCTCCTGTCGGCGAAGAGTGAGCTTCAGCAATGAGTTTGGTACTCAAATCAGAAGATGCTGGTATAACAAGGCAATTCTTATGATAGAGCTTGCCATTGGAGTAAGAGAAGTGGGAAACTGCATTTGGGTCATTTTGGAGTGAATGAATAAGGTCAGCAGTGTAGGAGTCGTGAAGCAGCATTTCCTCAAGTTTATCAAAGTCATCAACATGTGGAATAGCTAATTGGAAAATGGCTGCAGCTGGGGGACAACGAGATAATGCATCAGCGCCTTGGTTTGATGAGCCAGCCCTATAGGTGATTGTAAAATCAAAAGGGAGAAGTTTTATAAGTAGCCGCTGCTGCTCAGGGGTAGAGATACGCTGCTCCATTAAATATTTGAGACTGAAATGATCAGTAAGGACTTCAAATTTTCTCCCAATTAAATAATGACGCCATTTCTGCAAAGCTGACACCAAAGCAAAAAGTTCTCTATCATATGCAGACTTGTGACGTTTAGAAAAACTCAAGCCTTTGCTGTAAAAAGCAACTGGATGGCCTTCTTGCTGCAGTACTGCTCCAATCCCAGAAGAAGATGCATCACACTCCACAACAAAAGTCTTGGTAAAATCTGGAAGTTGCAACACTGGTACAGAAGTGAGAGCAACTTTCAGATTATTAAATGCAGTGGTAGCCGTAGAATCCCAGTGAAAGCCATCTTTCTTAGTCAGATCATTAAGTGGCTTGGCAATTTGACCATAATGTCGCACAAATCGTCTGTAATAACCAGTAAGCCCTAGGAATCCACGGAGTTCAGAGACATTCTGTGGTATTGGCCACTGCATTATTGCTGTAATTTTTTCATCTTCAACAGCTACACCAGTATGGCTAATCATATGCCCCAAAAAGGAGATCTCTGTCTGAGCAAAGAGGCATTTCTTAGGATTAGCAAAATAAGCATGCTGCTGTAATTGCTGTAAAATAATTCTGAGATGGGTCATATGTTCCTGGAAAGTTCTGCTGTAAATCAAGATGTCATCAAAAAAGACCAGTATAAATTTTCGTAAGTAGGGACGCAGCATGTCATTCATTGCAGCTTGAAAAGTTGAAGGAGCATTGGTAAGGCCAAAGGGCATCACAACAAACTCATAATGGCCAGAATGAGTTCTGAAAGCAGTCTTGTGAATATCATCAGGGTGAATGCGAATTTGGTGGTAGCCAGATCGCAAGTCTATTTTAGAAAAATAAGTAGAGCCATGTAGTTCATCAATCAACTCATCAATACTAGGAATAGGATACTTATCTGGAATAGTAATGCGGTTTAGTTCTCTGTAATCAATACAAAGCCGCCAGGTGTTGTCTTTTTTAGCCACCAGCAACACAGGACTAGCAAATGGACTAATACTTGGACGAACAAAGCCCCTGGACAGTAGCTCTTCAATTTGTTGCTCTATTTCATTTTTTTGACTGTGGGGATATCTGTAAGGCCTGATATTTGGGGGTGCTGCGCCTGGATAAAGATGGATAGCATGGAAATGATCACGCATGGGAGGCAACTGAGTAGGAGTAGAAAACACCTCTGCAAAAGAGTCTAATAAATATTGCAAGGAATTCTCTGACTGAACAGCAACATTCTGCACAGAAAAGCTATTCAACGAAGCAATATTAGATGATTTATTGGGTATTCCTTGCAATTTGTACCGCTTCCCATTGACCCAAAAAATCATAAACATTTTCTGCCAATTAGCTTCCACAGTATTCAGAGAAGCCAGCCATTTGATGCCCAAGATCATGTCTGCTCCACCCAAGGAAAAAGGAAAGAAGTCATCTTTTATCATTAAATTCTGTACATGTACCTCGAGTTGTTGACAAATAGTATTGCAAGATACCAGATTGCCATTCCCAATCTGAACACCGAATGGAGTAACTTGTTGTACAGGAAGATTTAATTCAAAGACAAGTTTTTCTGAAATAAAATTGTGGGTTGATCCACTATCAACCAAGATAAGAATGTTCTGACTCTTCAAAACTCCTTGAAGCTTCATGGTGGTAGAAGAAGATCCACCCAGAATAGCATGAAGAGAGATTTCTGCAAACTCACTTGGGGTATCATTTTGGGTTTCCATATTCTCAGGTTCCATGCCACCCATTTCCTCCGTAATCTCCATAAGTTTTAGAGAAGCAGTTTTGCACTTGTGACCAGGAAAGAATTTATCTCCACAACGGAAACACTGCCCTTTATCTCTCCTCATTTGTTTTTCAGTGTCAGTTATGGTTGAAGAAGCAGTAACCGCTGAATTAGTGGCTCCATAAGACGTGGGTAACTGCCTCATGTTACTTGATGATGGAGAAACTGACATAGATAACTGCTTCTGGGATCCAAAAACTTTATTCTCTTTATTTCCAAAAGAATTCTCATAACCACGTGAACCCCCAAAACGCTGACTAGGACGGTTTGACTGCTGGGTCAGCAATTTGGCCTCAAACTCAAGCGCCAAACTAGCAGCTTTGTACACAGTACGAGGTTTCTGCATTTTTACATCAGCTTGCAACTCTTCTTTTAAACCATTAATGAACACACCTAGTAGGCAATGTTCAGGCCATCCATGCACTCTGGAGGAACGTTTAACAAACTCTTGTCTGTAATCCTGCACGCTTCCTGTTTGTTTAATACTGCATAAATAAACATCAGGATTCTGAAATTCAGCAGGCCCAAAATGTTCCTGCAAAATCTGGATAAGTTCTTCCCAATATCGGATAGTTCTCCTGTTAGAAATCCAAGAAAACACATCCAATGCATCTCCCTCAAAATTCATGGCTGCTACATCAACTTTCAATTCTTCTGGAGTTTGATAATACTTAAAGTATTTTTCTGCCTTCATAATCCAACCACGTGGATCCCCATTTTCAAACTTTGGAAAGTCTACTTTAGAATGGGGGCGCCTAGAGGGAATTTTACTCCACCATGGATTGTCAGAATCATTTTCTTCAATTTCCACATGGGAGTGTCTCGTAGCTTCTTGAGGTATTGCATAGGTTTGCTGCCCATTGCCTTGTTTCTTCAATTCAGTCAAGTCCGCATCCACCTGGTTCAATTTATGAACCAAAATTGACAATTGTTGGGTAAGTTGTTCCATGGAAAGGGAAGGATTGGTTTCCTGGGGTATGGATGAAGGTTGTGAGTTTTCTGTGATGGGGTTTGGTAATAAGGGGTTGGTAGTGTTTGAAGTGCTTCGGGTATTAACCATTGGGTCCAAGGAAGGTTATGCTCTGATACCAAATTGTTAGGATAGGTAAAAAGAGAGAGTAACAGGGAGAAAGAGAGGGGAAAAGAGAAGGGAGGAAAAGGAGAAAAGATAGGTGGGAACCAGAATCTAGTTCCAAGGAGACCAAGACATCTGAATAATACTTTTCTGACTTCCATAACTGAATAAGACAGTACATTAAATAGCCTAATACATCAACTGATAGTAACTACCTTAGTCTGGAAACTGACATAAACTAACCTTATCCAAACATAGAAAACTGACGCAATAAAACATAATTAAAGTAAAAGACTATCAATTGTTACGTCCCCTCCTAGAATAAACCAACAAGGGTCGTTTGCTCCTATCATGGATGCAATTGTACACTCGGATTTTTGAGGTTCTTAAGTATATGTGCCGTTATTGTATTTCTCACATATGTTGTTGGTTTTCTTTACTGGTTCAGTCAAATCGTGGGCCACACTTCACCTTTTTGTCCATTTTAACTTTAAACGTCACTGTGCCCCTATACCTAATTAATTAATATCAGCACCTTATTGGTCTTATGTCTTCTTTTTGAAAGAATTCTAAAATAGAATATTAAAGCACTCTCCTCGTTACTTGAATTAATGCCTGAAATAGAATTCATAAGCTCTTACGTTGCTGAAAAATATTTTCAGCCTTGCCCCTTTGTTTGCTCAACATAATTTCCCCACTAAGATTTTGAGTTTGATAATGCTTGCAGTGTGATTGAAATCTTTTTTTTGCTTAACGTAATTCCCCCACCAAGATTTCTAGTTTGACAATCCTATTTACAATTCCTTTTCAGTCAGCGGGTGTAGCCAGAAAACCAAAATTATCAGTTGGCAGAGTGACTCGACGCACCGTCATGAGTCGGGGCACAAATTTGGACCAGATAGTTAATGACCAACAGACTCCAAAAACTGCATGTGCAGGAGAACCTATGCCTCTTTCTGAACACAGTTCTTGTCAGTGTAAAGTTCTGGCTTTTATCTTTCTTTCCTTCCTTTTTCCTTTTCTGAAGTAAACAATTTTGACTTCAGATAAAATTGAATGCCATTATCTTTGCCTTTCATCAATTTATTATTTGTCCTTATGTTCAGGGTTGAGTCTGATGACACTAATAAATCTCTTGTTGAAACTGGGGACTTCACATTTGCACCTTTTATATGTATTTGATTAAATCCTTTTTTGCTAAATAGTTGATATTTTCTCAAAAATAAGATGCATTTTGATTCTGAGTAGTGTGTGACTCTGGTTGAAAATTAATAATTCCGTCTTCTTGTTAACATGGAATTAAGTAGGTTTTACATTTTTCGCAACCTTTGGTCCAAGTAATTTGGTAAAAACTGTTCAAGAATCAAATTATAATTAATGTAAATATTTTTGTATCTTTGGATAGGATGGGGCTGACCGTATGATGGTGCCTGTAGGATTAATTTTTCATGATTGTTACCTCTGATTCATGCTCGCTCATGCCTCATTGTATATGCAAACACACCTCATACCGTTCTGATCATTAATGAATTTTTGTTTTCTCAAGTCAACGAAGACACTGCATTTAATGTGCTTTAGTTACGTGTGGTGATTTAGGTGCAATGGGCATTGAATTGACCGGCTTAGTTCCATCACAAGCTGAATGTTCGGATGAAAAAGAAGGGAAGGTTAGTTTCGCTGAAAGTAATTTAATTCCCAGTTGTGCAGATGGAGTTGTCCCAGAAAAGCAACTTCCAGAAAGTTTACAGACAAAACATGCAACTGAAAAGGTTCAAAAAGGCCAGGTTAAATCCAAGCGCAAGAAAGAGATTAACTTGCCCCGCCGTGCTTCAAAACGTCTTGCTGGAATTCAGGTTGATCCTGTTCCTGAACTTGTAACAAGGCGCCGAAATGCAGCTAAAAATTCTGGCGAAGTAGCCTTGACAAACGAGGATAAATCTTCAGGGAGTTTCTCTAATGAAGAAACCAAGCAGCTTATTGCACGTGAGAGTGGATCAGAAAGTAAGCGTAAACCTCAAAGCCTAATGAACACAATGGAGTCACCAAAGTTGAATCAGAGTAAGCATTCTTATGGGAGTTTATGTGCTCCAGAAAAACTTCCTGAGAAGACTTTTGAAGAGCCGAAAAGTGAAAAAGATCAAGAATGCTATTCATTTTTGTCTCCGGGGAACACTGTTACAGTCAACGAGCAAGTGAAAGACCTGGAAGGTGGAGCAAAGTTTGACTACTCTCTCGACTTGCCCCTTGGAGAACTATTATCAGACCCATGTATTGCATTTGCAATACAAACTCTTACCGAAGGAACATTTGAAACCTCCAAAAACACTCAGATTTCATCTGAAGTGAGTGATAGCAAGTATTCTGAAACTTCAGCTTCTGCTAAAGGGGATGACAGCAAAATCAAAGGGCAGAATGTGAGTGACTGGAAGCAAGAATGCAGTGCGTCTTCACCACCAAAGGACCTTGTTGCAGAACATGCTGGCAGTACTTCTGAATCGCCATTTGGTATTTCATGGATGGATCCATGCATAGAATTTGCAGTAAAAACTCTCACCGGCAATATCCCAGTGGAATATGATCCAAATAGTGAGAATTGCCTTCAGCAGCAGCTTGGCACTTCAAACAACCAGGGACTCGGTGAAGTAGCCTTCTCAGGCGGCAGCTTAAATAATCTGCGTCAGACCGACTATTATTGCAGCCAATACCTTGGTACACAGGATCCTGTATTTAAACAACAGTCGTTTCTGGATACAGCTTTACCCAACGCTAGAAGTGTCGGCATGGGGAATTCTACTGGAGCCAGACTGCACCAATATGGTGGCGAAGATAGAAGGAATGGGCGCCAGAGATAAACAATCAGCTTGTAACTGTACTAACTCAAGATTGCACAGTTAGGAAGTATTTTGTAAAAAAAGATAACCAACTAGACCTTTAACCTCCCATTTGGTTGTTTTTCGAGCATGTTGTTGTGTACATTGTAGTTGTTGTTCTGAACTAGTTTCTTGTTAGCTTGACAGTAAAGTAGGTGTTTAACCTTTTCATTCAACTTCTGCACTATATTACCATATTTGCATTGCCTGGCATGGTCCTCCCCTTCAACTCCAGCACACTATTTTGTATACAGTTTACGGTTAAAATATCAAATGTTTTAGTTTGTTCTGAGGATTATTGCAGGGCTAAGGAAGAAATTGACACAGCTTCACCAGATACCAAGTACTAATGATTCTGTACCTGTCGTCTTTGTATGTCGTGGTGTTGGGGTCTTTTCTTCTTTCTCCAATGGCTGTGCCGAGAAAAGCAAGGTTGTAACTTGCGAGTTTTGGTTCCTTCATATTGATCTTATTGGCATTATTCTGCATCATTTTTATTCACCGAAGTGCTTCCGTGAAATATCATTAAGGATAAAGGGCAAAGTGAAGGAGGCGCTAAGCTGCCCTAAAGTTGATCCAAAATATAATTACAAAAATGAACTTTTGCTGATAGCTGGAGTATGTATCTTTTGATTCTTTTCTCAAGGCGAGAAGTTAATTATGAAATCAGAGGATTTAGATCATTTAAACTCAAAATAACACGAAAATTAGAATTAATCATATGGTTAAAACATAATTTAAATTAAAAAAACTTAAAAACAAAAATGTAATATTTTAAATTGAATTTAAATAATACAAACTATCAATCGAGCTGAACCTTCATCGGATGTGCACCGAACACCAAAGGCTGTTAAAAATATATCTAATAATCTCAAAAGCATAGACTGTGAAAGACGCAAAAGTGAAGATACTTAGATCATGAAGACGAATGAAGAAACGTTAATCCTTGCGATGAACACTTGGAGGCGTCGTCGTGTCCCTCTTCCCTCTGCTGCTTCCATCGCTGTCACTCCAACCCATCCCTTTCATCGGCCGCGTCACCCCATGGTAGCTCACCGACCGCCCGATGGCCGCATGATTCATCAGAATATACCTCCGAAGCTCCTCCGGCAACCTAAGCGTATACCTCTCCGTGTCGTTCGACGTCGCCAGAGGCTGTTCGAGCAGCGAATGTCCCGTGGAGTTGGATCTCGGTAGCTTCTCGAACATTCTCCATCTCGATCTTCGATTTCTACTTTGCTTAGCTCTGGCCTCGTCCATGTGGTTTGCTCTCTCTGTTCCTGAAGAGTTGCTACTGCTCGGACCGACATCGTTAGGCGCCTGCGCTTGCCGTGTCTCCCTCACTCCTCTCCTGCTACTGTCTGAATTTTCGTATCCATCGACATTAACATAAATAAAATTACTTTTCATTTCTATGAATCAAACCCATTAGTTCATAAATTAAAATCAATATATCAACGTGAACTTCCAAGTGCTTTTTAAGGAAATTATGTGATTTCGAGTCTCAGCAAATATTTCATTTTTTTTGCTACAAATGATTACGTTGTTAAATGGTTGCTGGACCAAAAATATACATGTTTAAAATTTTTTTTAAGACAGAAAAAATCTTTGTAGATTTAAAAATTCAACCTTTTAAATTAATGTAATACATCTGTCCAGAGTTTCCCATGAGCTGCGATATTTATAACGGATAAAAAATGTTATTTGTTGTAGATTTTATGACATATGTTCATACTGATCAATTATTATTTTTATATTTGAAAATATTTTTTAAAAATTGAGATAGTTATCAAGAAATTTATATAAATATCACGTTAATTAATATTAACAACAAAATTGTATTTTATCAAAAAATTAATATTATCAATATCAATAAACAGCAATATCAATTCTCCTTTAAAACGTAGCAATATGAACAAGAAATATAAGAACCATAATAAATTGCATTGTAGGTATCCCTTTGCAAATTTTTCAAGCCCGCCTTGTTATTATAAATATTAGATTAAATTGAAAAAAAAAAGGAGTCAAATGCAATAATCAATAAAATAAATAAATTAACAAGTCAAAATGATTGGCAAGGGCAAGCCTTTCAGGAAGCCAAAAATGTCTATGGAATTAATAAACCCTAAATTCCAAATCTTGAGATTCTTAAACGTGGAACCATACGTTAGCTGTGCGGCGTTACGAATGTAGAAAGAAATTTTCTTTGCATTGTTATTATAATTGCTGAACTTGTGGGAGTTTTCTCGCATAACCATGACGTGTTCTTAGATGTGTCAAATTGTTCATCAAAAGATATGTATCACAATTTACGTAATTACCTTCACTTCCTTCGTTTAACTGATCAGTCGGCATTACGATGGATACGTCGCCGGAATCTGGTTTCAGATTTGCTCGACAAAGGGGACAAGTCACATGAGAAGCTAACCAGGCGTCGATACACTCCGGGTGAAACACGTGGTTGCAGTTTGGTATCAACCGGAGAGTCTCGTGGTCTTCGAACTCGCTCAAGCACACTGCGCATTCGAGCTCTCCTTTTCCGATCATGTGGTTTTTTATGGTAGAATACACGAGGATCGGGAATGTATCCAGGACTTCCCGGTCGATTCCTCGAGAGCAAGAACACCGCCAACTGACGCCGTCGAGGCCACCGGCCGTATGGTTCTGGCTGGCGAACATTAGCGCGGTCCAGTAATTGAGGTAGACCGAAAAGACAGTGACGAATATGACAGCGCATACGGCGGCTGTGGCCTTGACAAAAATAGCGAAGTCGACGCCACCAGGAGGCATCGGCGGCGGCAACGGCGAAGGTGAAGTAGCTGAGTGAGGAACGACGGAGCCAGAGACGTACATCGTCAGCAGGAGAAGGAAGAGTAGGCGGTGAGACCATGTGAGCAGGCGGGAGTGAGATCCTCCGGTTTGGATCATTCGGATACTCAGGAGTTCTCAAAAGTGATCAGCGTTGGGCAAACTGCTTGTAATTTATGAAGAAATAAAAGAAACCAAAGGATTTCTTGGAGAAGACGGCTCTGATTTATGAACAATAATTTGGTGAATTGGAGGACCTAGCAATTTAATTTATATTAATTGGATTAAATCGATTTTATTGAGAGATAAAAAAGCATATTTGTAATTTGGTAAATAAGTTATCATAAATACTTGCAGTTTATTGATGTATTCAACAAAATGTATGGCTATTCTTGAGAATTAAGAAACTAGGGAAGGTGCTAGAAATACACGCTGACTAAATGACAACTAATAAGTATTTTCAATTTTAACATTAACAGATCGGGTCACAAAAATAATCAACATAAATGATTAAATTTACAGCAAAATTGTTGAAAATTACTACCTCCGGTCCTAATTATAAGAGTCAGTTGACTAATTTGAGGAGATTAAGAAAGTAAGTTGAGTTAATTATTTGTCCTAAATAGATATTATCTTTCCTAAAATATCCTTACTAATAAAATGTATTAACTAGAACTATAATTATTAGAAGAACTATCTTAGAAAAAATTGAGTAAATATGAGAAACAAAATGGATTGGGGTCTTATATTTAGGACCAAAATAAAAGTCAAACAGGGCCTTATATTAAGAACCAGAAGTAGTATTATGTAATGCATGAGAACACTTATCTAAACATAAAATATTGGGTATCCATCAATTCATATATCACAAGGATTATTTACTTGGATATAACGTTCAATGGATTTGTGTATCTGATTCTTACTTTGATTCATGAAAGAGAGACCAAAACAAAGTAAGTATCCAATTTAGGGTGTGTTTGGATGAAATCAAACCGTGGTTTGAAAAAGTGATTCTGGAGAATAGATTCTGGGAAGAATAGATTCTGAAAAGAATATTTTATGAAAAAGTGATTTTGAGAAGTGAGAGTGTTTGGATAGTTGTTATCAGAAGCACTTTTTATATATACAAATTACTAAAAAAAAGAAATAAGTTAATATGATAATTACAGAAAAAATAGATTTTATGATATATTTTAATTTAGAGGAATATAATTGTTAATAATATATTTTTTTATTAACATAATTAATACTCCTCCGATCCTAATTATAAGACCCAATTGACTTATTTGAGGAGATTAAGGAAGTAAGTTAAGTTGGTTATTTATAATAAATAAGTGTTATCATTCCCAAAATATCCTTGCTAATTAAGTATATTGGCTAAAACTATCATTATTAGAAGGATTATCTTGGAAAAAATGCATAAATATAAGAGACAAAATGGATTGGGTCTTATAATTAGAACCAAATAAAAAGTCAAATTGGGTCTTATAATAAGGACCGGAGGAGTAATACATAAGATAATATAATTAATAAATAATTAATATGTATATATATTTATAAAATATAAGATTAAATATGTTTATAAAAAAATATGTTTATAAAAAAAATAACAAGATACATATCCTATAGGCTCTCACACTCTTCCTTTTTTCCCTAAAGCAAAAAATTTTTGTTTTTTCCAAAACCATGGTTTTGATTTTGAGGGGGGTGTTTGGATAGCATTTTGTGCAAACCATGGTTTGGGCTTCCAAACCATGGTTTGCAAGTGCATCCAAACGGTGCCTTAATGAATTTGTTTACAAAAAAAATAAGGGCATAGTTGGCATGGGCTCGATAGATGTTCAATGTTTATCCCTTATGGCCCATTTGGTTCATTGAATTTGTCGTAATGGATTGTAATGTAATAGAAGGAAACGGGATGTAATGCAATATGGATTACATGAGTGTGTTGGGTATGTTATATAATGGAATTTAATTTTTTAATTTAATTAAATTTAAATAGGAGAAGAACACCGGTGAAGATTGCTGCCAATATAATTCAAAGGATGTAGCCACACAACGATGAGGATGAGGGGTAGAAAAGTCAAGAGCGGATTCAGGTAGTGGTAATGGGGATTATATAGGTTTTTTTAATGTAATTCCTATTATTGAATTTAAGGGAATCATGATGCCATTACGTAGTACCTATTACATTACCTTGGATCAACCAAACATTAAAAATGTGGGATCATGTTAGGATTACATGTAATCTTTTTTCATATAATCCCACCAAACAGGCTCTTAGTTGTTATATATATAGATCTTTATCAACTTCTATTGATATGAGTGATAGGGATTATAGTCCTCTGAGTAAGTATTTGTTCGAGTTTTAAAGGAATAAAAAGATGAGTTTGAATTACTGATTTGACATGTCAGATTCATTTTAATGGTAACAAAGTTTTAAAATTCAAGCGGTAAAAATCTTTCGCAGGTAAAACAAAACCTAAAAAAATAAACATTACTTTCAAAAAGAGTATGTGACTCTAATGTTATCACCCATCTATAACGTTCCAACATCTCAGTCATTTTTTTTTTCCCTTGTTTCTTTTGATCAATAGCTTCTACATAAAATGGGAGTTATTTTGATATCTTAGAGCGATCAAACAATATAAAGAAAAAAATGTATAATGTTATGAATATAATATTTTTATGGATGTCCATGTATCTATCATTATCTCCCTTATCTCCCAATATCTTCAACATTTGCCATTATTCCTGTTATCTGCAATTATCTTTTATTATTATATCTGTAGATTCTATCAAAGATGTAAAACTGTGTCTAGAAATAGAGACTATGTATAATGTATTCAGCACTCTTGAATGGAATGAGAAACACTTTCTCTCATTGATTTTCTTTTCTTCTCTATTCTTTTTCTTTATTTATAACAAATAATTTTTTTTTTAATTCCTAAAAGTCGAGAATGGACAATTGGGGTGGACTCAAGGGCGTGCAAGCCTAACGAAAGTTGAGTGAAGAAAAGCCGTTAATGCGTTGGGCGAGTCAGTAGAAAGATTCAACCCGAATTCCAAGCTTGCCACTTGGCTGTTCATGCAAAGGAAGGGATGGGGACGTTCCATGTCAAATTGACAGAAACACGTCTAAATCTTTTATATTCAGTCTTGTGAAACGTGAGCTGTTGTCTTATATGTAGTATTTCTGGTTTTCATTACAAGACTTTATCTGTAAACTACAAATAAAATTTTATAATTAAGACCAGAAATAGTATTATATTTGTAGAGTCCTTTTGTGCTGTCCTAACATTTTATACATACTGATATATTTGATAAAAACCAAAAAAAAAAAAAGATAAAAACGTGCAAACGAGCTGAACTAAATCAACTAATATTGCCCACCCAAAACGGGAACATAATGAATTTTTTCCAACGTCAACCGATACATAGGAGTAGCCTGGTCCGGCATGTATTCATCAGATAGAGGGCAGCGTGTGCGTAGAATCACGTCGAAAGAATACTTTTCGGCAGAAAAGATATGGGATATATTTATAATTGATTGATTTATCTAATCACTAAACAAGTTTCACATCAACCAAAGACTGCGGAGTTCACATTCCTAGGCAGAACTATAGAAGCAGAAAAGTCCTCCATCTCAAGGACTTAAAAATTGATTTTGCTCGCCCTGATGAAGCTTCTACTGTATTACAATTTCGACCATGGTATGAAATCTCAGGATCAGGGTGATCTGCAATCAGAAGCTTTCCTTTTCTTTCCTTTTGCTTCCCCAACGACGGAGTCATTTACATCCCAATTTGGTTTTAAAAAGATATGAAGGAATGGTTAAACAGCTAAATTTGACTTTAAGATCCTCCTATGCAGGGCCTGAACCCATAGCACCAGCCCGAACTCTCAACATTTCGGTCCTCTTACTTCTCTCCATCACTTCCACCAACCACTCTACACCTTCCTTTATCCCCATTCTGCAACATTTCAAAACAAAACCCATTTATACAACTTGAATACTTCATTATCTTCACACACGCACGCACTAACATTAGTTTCGTATGTTTGAGTAAATGGATCATTACTATCCAGATGTATTGGAAAATAAACTTCCTACTTACCCATCATAGCCTGACACAGCTTCAAACATGTAAACTCTTTCACCCAGCTTCTTTAGATCTAGGTAACGACCAAGTTCTTCCGCTGATACCGCTTCAGGAAGATCCTATAAATACAATAATGTGAATAAGGCAGCTCCCACTGAGGGTACACATACACAAAGAGGACAATGACAATAGCTTATCAATAAGGAAGGACGAGGAAGATGATCAAAAGAGAGCTTGAGATGCTTCCTTGAAGGAAAGATCAAAAAAGGGAACAAAGCAGTCACCAAATTCTGCCCTCTTGAAAACCAAAAAGAAAAAAACTTGTGCTCCTACGGTGCCTATTGCCTGTATAAGCACTGGCGCCTCAAAGTTTATACTTTATAGGAATTCATGTATGGCAACAAAAAACACCAGAGGATATTCGTTATCGAATAAACGGGATATTGAACCAAGGGAACTTGCTTATGATGGATTGTAAGTTATACGGTTATATAGGACCGCAAGAGGGAATAATTACTCTCACCTGCTTGTTTGCTAATATTAAAAGAGGTGCTCCTTGTAAATCCTCATGCCGAAGTACCTTTTCTGATATACAAGTCAAAGTCATTATATCATCAATGTGTAACCACACCCCCCCCCCCCAAAAAAAAAAAAAACAGATTCAGTATTAATTGCACTTTCCAGCAAACACCTAAGACTTAGAGTACTGTAAATTTATAAACTACAATATAAAGATCAATCATACTAACCAAGTGCAGACTTGGCATCTTCAAAGCGTGAGGGACATGCAGCATCTATAACAAATATCACAGCATGCGCTTCTTCATAATATTTCTCCCATATTGATCTAAGTCCAGGCTGATAGAAACCTTGCATCAGTACCTTATAACCCAGAATAAAGAAGGAACAGAACAAAATAACAGACGGAGAAGCATGAAAGGTACATGCGCTTTGTACCAAATGATACATACTACTTCTGGCCACATGCAAGCAAGCCAGCTGAACAAAACTATTGCATTGATGAGATTATAATCATAATCGGGAAAAATAAAAAACAAAAGAAGGGAAGAGGCATCAATAAAAGAAATAATGATATTAAAAAAAAAAAAAAAAAAAAGAAGCATGCTTTGCACAGACACAAGTCCTTTAGCTTTTAACAAGGTTAACAAACATGAGCTTCAGACAGGGAAGGGTGAAACCAGGAAGGTCGCAAATTGCAGGATTCAATAAACAAGTAACAAATTCTAATATATAGCCAGAAAAGAAAAGGTCGCAACGAATATGTAGCAAAGATAAAAGTAGAACAGCAATGAAGCAAAAATAAATTTCAGAGTAACCTTCGGAGAGGGATCCTATGAAGTTGAGAATCTCCTAGAGTAATGGAGTTTAAGGCTTCAAAACTTCCATTGCCGACCCTTTTTACTACTTTTTATAAGAGGAAAAAAAACTTTAAAAAAAAAAAATACAACCTCATCAACTCAACCACATCACAACTTTTAGAGGATTCATTTCAGCCTTTAACCACATAATGGAGACAGGTTTCCTACAAAAATCTTGAAATAAAAATATCTTCTTGATTTTCCAGTACTTCTGTTTTAGCCTACCAAACAAGCATAGAAAACGCATTACAGAACCATGTGAGTCATTATAAGTATAAAACCCATAGAAAGAAAGAAATTTAACAAAGTAACAGCATTGGAGCCTTCAGCAACCAATAAAGCCAGAATAAAAAGAAATATAATTACTTTGCAAACTCAAGTAGATATTTCATCTGAAAAACACAAAGAATACATTTGCTACTTTAATGCCCATACCTGGCCTCCCAGGTCCCAGAATACAAGTTTTGAATTTGATGCTTCTATCCGACCAATGTTTAGTCCAACGGTTGGAACAATTCGATCAGGAGGAAGCCCTTCTAAGTTAGAGTACGTGGATTTCAACTTCTCCAATAAAGTCTACAAATTTATGAATAATACCACAATTCAGATAAATGACAGAGAAGTTTTGGAAATTAAAAAAAAAAAAAAAAACAACTCAAGGCTGCATTACCGTTTTTCCAGCCTTGTCAATTCCAAGAATAAGCACATGAAACTCTATCTTACTGAACATATATTTCCAAAGGCCGTAAAACAATGTAAACATTGCTTCTTGTATAAGCTTGCTTTGTATATTATCTCTGACTCTCTCAACCTTCAAGAATATAAGTATATGAAGATCATTCCATGTTACATGATAGCTCCTCTTATCAACAGTTTGCTGTCTTGACTACAAAAGTAAAACGTTCAGCTTCCTTGTTCAAGTCAAGGTTGTCACCCGTGGATGCATGAAAATAGGGGAGGAAGTCTGCTTGAGCATGCCTTAACAGGTGGTCCTTCGGTTTATCCCCATTTAATTATGAATACCCCATTTAAGTGTCATATTAGCAAATTCATATGCACAGCTTGATAATGCACCAACAACTAGATTCAACTTTACCGCAAAAAGTAGATTATTTGAAACCAAACGATTTCACTCTGCAAATAGTTGATCAAGGATTCTATACTTGATCTTAGTGGCAATCCATGCACAAGCTGAATCCTACATTCATGATACAGATAGCCGTGCTCATATAGTCATGCTAAGGCAGATATTCGAACCAAATAATCTAAATTTAATGAATTTAACAAATTTTAAATCGAATTGAACCACAAAAAACCACAGAAACAGATCTAAGAGCAAAGTAAGTGGAAAGATCCTCTGATCGCGAGTCAATTTCGTGAGAACAGCCGAAAAGCTTCCTACCCACACCAAGAGTATAGAATTTAAAAACGAATCATTTGCTTTTGAACAACGAAAACCAAACTTAATATGGATAGCCCAAACGAGAAATCATGCATAACCAAGAAATGATTAATGATTGATATACGCAGTCTAGTCTGCAAAAAAGAAATCTAAAATTATAATATGACATCATCCAGACTAAAGAAAGTCATCAAATCAAAAGAGCGAAATAGCACGGTTCATACCTACAAGCTCGACTTCCTCGATTGCCGATCTTTGGCCAGACTGGATTCGATCCCACCACAGTTCTCAGGTCTCTGAACTCGCCGTGTTATGAGGCCTTCGCGATTTGTATATAGAATGCCTATATTACCCTCCTGTGATTGTGACAATTACAGGCGTCGGCATTCGGCGTCATTCACAACGCATCGTTTGGGCAAGAATATAGAATCGTGACCGTTTGCTTCAATATCAAATTAGCCGTCCGATCCATGGAATTTTATAACTCTGAAAAGTCAACAAGTGGACAGGTTCTTCTTTCGTTTGATTTTTTTTATTTTATCTTATGTACTTATTATATCTTTTACAGAAAGCCTGAACTTATTATTTAATCTGCATTACACTGATTCTTTGAATTTATTAATAATTTTGAAATATTTCGCAACTATTTTAATTTTTCAAATGGTTCCTAATATCTTGTATTCAAACATCATGTTAATTGAATGCAATGAAGAAGAAAATTAAGAAAATAAACAAGTTAAGAGATCAAAATTACAGCAAAACCAAAATTTTAAGGGAAAATTTTCATTGAGGACAGCAGATGGAAATTAATTTCAAACAACCCCAAAAAATTCTAAAATATCACTGCAAGACCAAAGGACTAAACTAAAATTAAAATTAAGAGTAAGATTATAATAATATCCCCATTTTTATTTTTTAAAAAATAAATATTAATGGCCTCCGGAGTTCCGGCCATCGGCACTCAGGTAGCTGCTGCCAGAGGTTGGAACTTCAGTGGTTGCTACTGTAGCTCTGGTAGCCTAAAGTGTTTTTTTTTTTTTTTAAAATAAGATGGCCAAGGGAATGTTTAAACCCATAACCCCTTGGCACACCAAAAATGATGTGACCACCAAGCTAAATAAACCATTTAATCATATGATACAAATACAAATATATATAACAAAGCAAACACAAGTGTTTAAGTGTAGGTAAACAAGTGAAATTTGACAATTTACAAATAACGTAATAGAATTCACAATCCAAAATGCAAGTGTTTAAATATAAGTGAACAAGTATTTCGCTTACTCATTTACACTTAAACACTTACATTTAGAATTGTGAATTCTATTACGTTATTTGTAAATTGCCAAATTTTTATTGTAAATTACTAAATTTCACTTGTAAATTGTCGAATTTCACATGTTTATTTACACTTAAACATTTGCATTTTAGCTTGTAAATTCTATTATGTTATTTGTAAATTGCTAAATTTCACTTGTAAATTGTCGCATTTCATTTATTTACTTATAGTTGGACACCTGCATTTGTTTTGTTATATATATTTTTATTTGCATCCCATGACTAAATGGTTTGTTTGACTTGGTGGTCACATCATTTTTAGTGTGCCAAGGGGTTATGGATTCAAACCTTTCCTTAACTATCTTATTTTTTTTTTTTAAAAAAAAAAAGCCTTCAGGCCACTGGAGCTACAGTAGTGGCTATTGGAGTTCCCATCTCCGGCGACGGCCACTTGAGCACTGGTGGCTAGACCTCGGGTGGCCGGAACTTCGACGACCATTAATATTTATTTTAAAAAAATTAAAAATGAGATGTATTATTGTAATCTTATTCCTAATTTTAATTTCAGTTTGGTCCTTTGGTCCTGAGTGATATTTCAGAAGTTTTTAAGGGCTGTTTGAAATTAATTCTCATCTATGATGCTTAATCAAAATTTTCCTAAATTTTAAAGCCACTACACAAAATTTAGATTCGAATTGAGCTCTTTTAATTTTTTTTTTTTTTAAAAATACATTGAGCTCACTCATTTTCAATATGCCGCTTACATGATTCTACATAAATTTTTTTTATCAGAAAAAACCTAAAAGAGAATTTCTTTTGGATTTAAAAAATAAATAAATTAAAAAAGGGGTCAGCTTTTCAAATTCATTTTGGGACCACCACGGTCTCAGTGACAGCGTGGATCCCCCGTTGGCCGTTTCAATGGATCCAATCAATGTCAAAATAGGATATTTAACCCGGGAGAAGGGTAGTCTTGGAAATAGAAAATTGCGAACCGCGGCGAAGATTTCAGGCGCTTGAAATTGCTGCTTATAGAGCAGTTCGACCGACTCCAGCGTTTCGCGGCAATTCATTCTGTCATTGGTAAATATTCTATTTCAGTTTGTCCCAATCATTTTCTTTTCATAAAGACCCATTTGAATTCTTCGCTCCTTCTCGCCTCTTGTTCCTCGATAAAATTGCAGGAAAAATTGAATTTCGGTTCTCCCTTCGAAATGGGTTGGATCATGGGATAGACTCCAATATTATGAACTTGATCGCATGTCTTTCAAATTATCGTTATAGTTTGATGGGGGATCTGGATATTTTGCTTGATTTAATATTCCATTTCCTTACAAGATCCTGATAGGAAGTCAACGGCCAATTAAATTTGCTTTTTGCCTTTGAAGCTCTCACTAGGTTTTAGATTTATGGTTCTACGTTGATTTTCCTATTGTTGGACGATGCTGAAAAGTCTTGAAGCTGGATTTGAGTGTTTTGCGATTTTAACGTTATAATTATAATGCATTTGCTTCTTGCTTGTGGAGTCACGTGTTTTTCCTTCTCAATTCAGTGGCATAAACGTCGTTTTCATTGAAATGTTTATTTCCTAAAATTTTGGGTTTTGAGTGTGAATTGCGCCCATGAATGAAAGCTTACAAAATGCTGTCGAAGTCCCTACTACCGCAAATATTGGTCGCGGTGGAATATATTCATTCATAATATATTCTGTCTGCCCTTCAATAAGGAAAGCCTTCCTTCAGACTATCGATTTATTGTTATCGAAAAACTTTAGATTAATTCAAACGTGGTTCAGGGGTTCAGATCCCAGTCAAAATGGACCACAATCCCCGAGATCCTTTGGGTTAGTTGTATGATCATACATTTAGAAGCGTGGAAAAAATGAAGCATTGTTTATGATTATGATGACTGGAATAGTAAATATTATTTATCTTTCCTTTTCTTGTATGTTTGTCACATTAATCAATGGTGCTTTAGCTATCAACCATTTTCCTTAATAATGACGTGATCAACTAACTTATATCATCTTTATCATGGTGACATATCTGTTTAACAACCCATCAGTATGAGATGGCAGTACTATCTTTTCCCATGTTTGCTTTTTTTGAGTTTTACGGTTGCTTCATCAAATCTAAATTCACATTTTCTACCTCTGAGTTTGTTAATAGCATTTACCGGCTCCTATTGCCCTTTGGTTTCCCACCAAATATGTGATTTTGCAGTTTCACGACTTAACAAAAAAATGTGATTGTGCCTTTTCAGTTGTCCAAGCCGCTTGGAGATTGATTTGCATGCTCATCGTGTTTGAAGAGTTCGTCCATCTAGCAAAATGAAGTAATACAAGCATTCTGCTTTTCATTAGTGTGCTTATCTCTTTCTGAAGAAAGTGCTTAATATGAATTAAATCAGAAATCTCCATATTATTGAAAATTATACACTGTAAAGCAATAAATTGATAAATCTAAATCTATTAGATGGGTTAATTGTGCCTTCCCATGTTCTGATTTTTTTATTTTTTATTTTTGGTATTTTCTTGTTGAAGGTTGGCTCCTAGAAATAGTTAAACTTATGTTTTAAAGCGTGCATATCATGAATATCAAAACAATCATGCAGTGCCGACGTTGGTGCTTCCTACTTTGTTTCTGTTTGAAACAAAAAGAGACAGCATCATATTTGTGAAACTAAAATAACAGATTGCAAATGTCCAAGAAAGGTACATGATTTGTAATAGGGACCTGTAAGATTCAGGGAATGGTCCTAAGTTGCCTTGACTTGCCAAGACCATATTACTCTGTAAGTTGGAGAACACTGCAGCTCCATTGCCCCTGTGATTTTGTGAAAATGAAATTAGCTATTGAAGTCAAATAATCATAATAAATGAAAGTTTTTTTATCTTGAAATCATACTGCTGAGAATGGATGAGGACTGTGACAAGTTATGATTGATTGATAAGCTTATTTGTGTATGCTGTTAGGGAGATTCACTATCATCATTCCCATATTTTACAGTTTTGTGTTTAGTCACACTGAATGTTGGAAGTATGGTAAATGCTATGGTCAGAGGTATGGGATGCACATTGAGGTTTTTGATAGCAGGAAGATGCTCTTTTGGAGACAGCTTCTAACATTTTAGATGATTAAAGAATTGGTAGTTGAATGAATGCTGGTATAAAGTGTCATCTAAATAACCCAGGATGAAGTGAAGCCAAAAAAAAAAAAACAAAAAGAAAAAATCAGGATGACTTACGAACACATTGTTATATGACATATATGTGGAATTACCCTTGGCTTTCTTACTCTAAGACTCTATACTTTGTCATTCAAATCTCTTCAGAAGTGAGCAGACTTTTCCTTCAAGTCCTTTAGCAATTTTAAGACATAATGAACTTTTCCAGATTAGATTATTGAGAATGGGGTCCTGCATCGTTTTTTAATTTTTTTTGTTTTCTGTTTATAAGCATGTGTAAAATGTTCTTAATATTAAGAATCTTGCACCTGTTATCTCAAAACAGGGGCCGTGTAACATGGGATGAGGCTAACATTGAAGAAATTGAGGCAAACAAACCTGTGAGGCAGAAAATTACTGAGCCTAAGACTCCATATCACCCTATGATTGATGACGATGGTACGTATGTGAGGCACTAGAACACTTAGACTGCATGCTTCTTCTACGTCCTCTCGCACATACTGCATTACGACCGTTTGTAATTGTATGCATCTGTGTATATACATATAGAAATGATATATATCTTTTATTTTGGCAAGTTCCTAAGTATTTTTAAATCTGGGGTTGCATTGATTGTTCTTGTAATGAGTATTTTCTTAATAGTCATTCTGTTAAGTAATAAAATTTTATTAGCCCTTACTTGGTCTGATTTTTAAATACTAAAACATATTGATCTATTTGTTTATGTAGTTGAAAGAAGATTTATATCTGTAATTTTTTTTTCGGTCTCACATTCTAGATCTTATGCAGTTACTAATCACCTTAATTCCTAAACTTATCAGATTCTCCAACTCTTCAAGGAAGCTTTGATTCGTGTATTGACAATAACAATATCACGGTGGTAGCTGAAGATGGGGCCTCTTGTAGTAGAAACAGAACTGGACAATCTAGTGGCTGGACGTCTTCTGAGGACGAATCAGACGCAATGGAACAAGATGATGAAGGTTTTCCTTTGCTTTGTGTATGATGTGATTTAAAAAAAAAAACCATCCAAACCAAAATTTAGACATTTATTAGGTGTCGATCTTTATCCGAAATAGTTCTATTATGACGAGTACTTGTTTGATTCCCATGTCATAGAATCTTAACCCGGCATCAATTAAGTTTGAAAAAATCAGGAGCTGAAGTCAAGCAATCCCATCTGATACATAAAATGTGGATCCCACCTATAGAATCCAAATATTTTGGGTTTTTAGATAACAATGAATTATGGATTGGGTTGAAATGACATTTGCCTAACTTGCATAATTGCTCACTGTCAGAAAATGAATTTATGATATCCATTAGTGTGTTGGTGTTAGCTGCTGTGAAATTTAGAATATTTTACAACCCATATTTACTTGTTTGGAGAAATTAGTAATAGTGGCTTTGTTTTGTACTTATCTATTGACATATTACATGCAACACTCTAACCTTGAACAGATCGGAGCCTCAGGTTCAAAGAACACAGAAAAGCTCACTATGATGAATTTTTCAAGGTCAAAGAGCTGCGGCAAAAGGGTTCTTTGCTTGGGGAAGAAAGTGATGAAGATAACATGAAGCTTGGTGATAAGGGGAATTATGACTCAACATCACTTAGTGCAAGTGTGGAAGGGATAGACATTAATGGAAAGAAAAACTCAGACCCTGCACCTAGCTAATGATTTTTGGATGATGATCGTCTAATAAAGCTCACCCCTGTTTTGGTCTTTTATTGTGTGGATACGAAACAACTGTACGGTTCAATTGTATCTTGGGCACAATATGATTATAGACTTTCATTCTTCATCCACAATGATCATTGATCATCTAAACTAATTCGATCTTTTGCAATCTTGTAATCTAGAAAATATGTTGATGAGTCTTGATGCGAACTCATAAGCAAGAATTTTTAGGCAATTTGTTTGTGGGTGTTAGATTGTGCTCTAAAATGATTCAGATGGGGTGCCTGAATATTTTACGGCAGGTTTAGATCCTGTTTTTATCCTCATGTATCACTAGCACTTAAAAAGCTATATCTAATATTCTCTTCTATCTACTTAGTTCTTATGCATCACCATGTGCCCGTCGTTTTTACTGTTGCCGGTGGCTGAACATCCTCCTTACTATAGAAGACGTTTTTATTGCAATTTCAGATTATATTCTGAAAAATTGAAAGCAAGTGTTCAGCCTTCTTATTTATATATAGAACTAGAAAGCATGGTACTAGAAATAAATATATTAAATGGTTATATTGAATTTTTGTTTATATAAAATTTTTTTAAATGAGTTATTAGATGATTATAATGATTTTGATAAATATCTTTTGAAAAGCTATACCTGAAAAAAAGAAAGTATTTTAAAAGAAACCGTTAGTAAACATAACCAGTTGTGTGCGGAGGAAATTTATGCAGAAAAAGGGTTGGGATTCTTATAAGGTGTAAATGGCAGGAGTATTGATTTGTTTAATACAGACAAAAAAAAAAAAAGAAGTGGAAATTTGACAGCCCTTGGATTGTGATGCTCGGCCGAAATAAGTGAAAATCCCTTGGCCCATATATGCATGAGTTAATCGTTAAACTGAAGAGCTAACTTTTTGACTTGGGAAGAAAATGACATTTTGGAGCTTTTTAGAACAACAGTTGAAAACCCCGGGAAATTAAAAAAATGCCAATTAAGGATTGAGATTGTCAGCGTATCCAAAGCAAACAATTGATATGGGGGAAAATTGCACTAAGGTCTTATGGAACATAAAATATAGTTTTAAAAAAAAAAACCACACTAGAGTTGCGAATCAATCGAAGTCCCAAAGGATCTAATTATAATTTAGTAAGACGTGAAAAGGTCTTATTATCTCTAATAACATTCACATAGAATCGTTAAGAGTTGCCTCATTCCATTTCAAAATCTTGCTCTCTCTACTCTCTATCACTTTCTCTGCTTCTAGCCGCCTTCTCTCCCTACCATTAATTGAAAATGTGTTTGAGATAAATTTTGAGATTCTTGATCCTCTGGAGGCTAATGTGGACTATTTTCTGGTGTTTTTCTTGCCTGAACAACCTGAGTTGTTTTTTGGCCAACTGGGTTACCTTAAGCACAATAGCTTTTGAAAAAAAGAAAAAAGAAGAAAAATTGTTATCAAGGAAGGGAACTTTGGGTAATAGCATTTGTTTTATATTGATAAAATATCTTTAATTAATATTTTCAATTTTTAATCACAGTATCCACGTATTACAGGGTCTCCTTCTCACTACTAGATGCGCAACTGGGCATCCTTCTTTCTTCTCACACAGACAAAATTCCCATTGCAAAAGCTTAGAACCGGTTCAGAACTTCTCTTCCTTCCCATCTTCTTTCCCTTTCTTTCTTTTTTAACCATTGGATTAATATTTTAACAGTTCAGATTTAAATCCTTTTAAAATTATTATTAAAATATTAAATTATAAAAATAAATAAATAATAAATTACAAACTATATTGAAATTTAATCTTAATTGTTTGCAAATATACTAAATATTTTAAAGTTTTTTTATAAATAGTTTATAAAAAATTAAAATCTAAACTATGGAAATATGCTAATCTAATAATAATAAAAAAAAGACAAAAGAAAAAAAGAATATGTTCCAAACCGCTCACGACGCTTAGCTGGATGCCTGGATTTTTTTTTACCAGCGATGCCCGGATCTATTCATTGCTCAGATTTCAACATTATATGAGCTGTTTGTTTAACCACAATTTACAAATTATTTTTTTAATGATTTTTTAAAAATATTGATGATCCAAATCCAACCCTTTGGTAGCCGACTCTAGAGATGGGAAGGGAGGTGGGAGGCTAATAGTGGGGTTCATTTCCTGTTTGCCCAAAAAGGAATAAATAAAAAAGAATGATTCTCACATGGCAACCGCCACAAAATAAATATCTAACCGCAGGGCGGGTCCCACATGCTTTACCAAAAAAAAAAAGAAACCCCTCAATAACACCAAAGTCGCTGACTCACTCTTCCCCAAAAGCCAAAGATATTTTTCAGTCCAAAAAAAAAAAGCCAAAGATATTTTCACCCCCTTCTCTCTCATTCCACGGCTACCATCTTGCCCCTGGGCCCCACGCTCATCCCCTTCCTGTTCATCTCCATGCATTTCGAATTTAATGCTCCTCTCTTACTTTAATTAAATGCTCTTTTATATTAGTAAGATGATTTGGCTCATAACCCCGCTGGTGCCTGTTCTTTAATTCTTTAATTTTAAAAAAAAAAAGAATTTCCCTTTTCTGTTTCATTTAAAATTTATTATTTATTCCCATATTCTTCCACGTCTACCTGAAAGAAAATATCTAAAGCCTTCCACGGTTTAAAACTCCAAGCATGAACCCTGGTCAAAAACAATTACTCGATTATATTTTTATGTGTCTGGATAAAATATCTATCAATCAATCACTTATGCGAAAATATCTTCGGGTTCCAGATCAACGAGTTAAAACCGTCATTTAGGATCAACTTACGAGTCGTACCTCGTTTCCCGTTCCCGTTCTCGTTCTCTCGCCCGCTCTACAGATTCAGTCGCTTTGACCGCTGATCTCCGTTTTCGTCCTCATCGATGATGCAGTCCCAGGAGGGGCAAGTACCGACGGCGGCGGCTGAAACCGCCTCGTTTTGGACGGACGAGAAGCACTTGCAGTTTCTCAACTCTTTAGAAGCCTCTTTCGTCACCGCAATGCTCGGAAACAGCTCTAGCTCAATCCACTGCCTCCGCCGTCACCTGGTCGACGTCTCCGAGTCCACGTCGGATCTGAATCCCCACCGCACCGCCTCCGTCAACTATACGGTTTCAGGTAATCATCTTCGTGCTTCCCTCTCCTTTCTTGTTCTTTCTTTCTCTCCGTCCCTTCCGAACGGAGATGTTTGAGGCAGCGTTTGGTTCCGCATTCTAAGAAATTTGAACTATCCCGGGAGCGGAGGGAGTGGTTGTTTCTGATGCACCGGGTGCTTCATAGCTGGTCGGTGGCGGGGAAAGCGTTGGATGGTTTTTGACTTGACGCAACTCCCCAACCAAACAGAACTTTACCATCCTCATTTCTTCTTAATTTTAAATTAAAATAAATAATAATCTAGACACAGCTTTCGTAATTATATATAGTACATGTTAATTTAATATATTTTAAACAATTAAAATATATATATATGTGTACATATATATATATATATATATTTACTCTATATATCGAGTCACATTATTTTTTAATCGCGCGCACCCCTAAGTCTTCCCCTGGGAAGTGCTACCCACAGCTCAGCGCAGGATCAATAATTCCGTCTATACATTGAGTCATATTATTTATATTATTTGTGTTGAATTTATAAACATCAGAATATGAAGATACAGTTACTGTAGTTATTTGTTTGAATTTTTTTTGTTTAAAAAAAAACTAATAGGCGTAGTGACAAAAAGAAGCTATTGAAAAAATCTTAATATAAATGACCAACAAATTAAAGCTCTCAAATTGATATCCAAATTACAAGATTATTTGTACGTGCGTGATCAGCCTATCGAATGCCTCTGATCCTTGATCAAAATCAAAAGTGGGCTGAGTTTTTTTTTTTTTAATTTTTGTTTTCTCTTAAAAATCTTTTGTGTTAGTATGATATTGTTGGTAGAAAATTGAGGGTGCAAAGTTGGCAGGATTGACGGGTACTAACGGAGGAAGGAGAAGGAGAGGGAGAAGAAGTATGAGAAGAAGATCATCATCTCAAGCCTGCAATTCATCATTCCAGGATCAGGTACGTACCTACTCGGAGCCCTCTCTATATGTATCTCCCCAACATCAAAACATTATAGTTTTTGCCCTACATATATTAATCTCAATAATTAATATGACCAACGAGATGACGTAAAGATTAATTAATATGTGTGTGTGATATAGTCTCACACAGTGAAGTTTGGGAGGATGAGATTAGTGTTGCGTGTGGATGTTGAATGAGTAGTTACGAATATGGATATTTTGGTGGGCAGGATATAATGGACTTGTTGGACGCCAAGTGAAATTGAGTCATGTGATGTATATAATGTAGACGCTCTTGGGCATTTGTCACTTCTAACCCATGATTCATTGAGTCGTTTGTTCTTTTACTTCTTTTGTGTGTCCCCAGCTAATGACCTGTGTGTGTACTGCCTACCAAGGAAAATGAATTAATGATATTCCGAAATATGTTTATATTATACTACCTCTGGTCCTAATTATAAGACCCAGTTGACTAATTTGAGGAGATTAAGAAAGTAAGTTGAGTTAGTTATTTGTCTTAAATAGGTGTTGTCTTTCTTAAAATATTATTGTTAATCAAGTGTATTGACTAAAACTATCATTGTTAGAAGGGTTACTTTGAAAAAAATGTGTAAATATGAGAGATAAAATAAATTGGGGTCTTATATTTAGGACCAAAATAAAAGTCAAACAGGGTCTTATATTAAGGACCGGAGGTAGTATTTATAAACCAAATAAGACATTATATGTGAAGAAGTTAATTAACAAATTGGTCTGGAATAGTATCCTCCCCACCTTAATATCGCTATGAAGATTATTTATTGCGTGTGTTCACTAATATTCTTTAATTTGGGTTGGTATTCCTTGCATGTATTGACATGATATATCCATACATACATACTTACATATTCCCATTGGTATAGATATTTGTCATAAAATTTGTGGTCCCAACACCATGAACAGTGAAAACTTTTCGCATGTGCTGTGTGTGCGATTGTGTAAGCTTATCGCCAGAAACAGATCAGTAGGTGGATCGCAGATAATTTTCAAATCACTCATATATGCACGCTGACTTCTCTAATAAATTGCTACCAAAATATTTCATAGAAAGAAATCAAGGAAAATTTTCGATTTCATTAGTTTTGTCTTGTACTTTTATTTAATATATATACCTTCTTGGGGAAAAAAATTTACAAAATCAAAATCAAAATTTTTTTGTCTGTCTGACAAATAAATGCATATATCCTGCGTGTGAGTATATGAACGGAGAGTAAGAGGAGATGGAGAAGTTGGTGGGCTTTAGAAAATAGAAAGATAAAAATCAGAGGCACGGAGGGAGAAGCAATGGGAACGGGTGATTTACATGTGTGCGTACCTTGCAGGTGGTCCCACAGATTGAAATTGGACAACAACATGATATTACCGATGATTCAGACCAAGCAAGTACTGTCGACTAGGTTGGTTGCTGCATGACAGCACCCTGCAACAATCCTTCTCTCTTTTCTTCTCTTTTTTTTTTTCGTTTTTATTTTTTTTTACAGCATTATCTTTTTGCTAGAGTTTGCTCACAATGTTAGGTCCTTTTGGGGTACTATGAATAGTATGAACCCTAGTTCTAACATGATGGTGTTTATTGAATTCCGCACGGACACTTTGGATCCGCACTCTAATCTCAACAAAGCAGAATTTAGAAACCGAGACGGATGTGTACGTCCACTGTCTAATAATTAGTCATTGAAAATATTTTTGTAAGATGCCCTCTAAAGTTTTGGTTGTGAATGGAACGCAAGTAATTGCTTTGCCAAAGGAATTTACTATGCACATGCAGAGAAATTTTTTTGAGGCTTATTTTGCTAATGGAGGGCATTTTCCTTGACGCCCTCTTCCTGATTTCTGACCCACGAGTCCTTACGCCTGGGGTCGAAATTTTTCTAGCTCATGTAATCACACGCGCGCGCACGTATCCATGTATGGATCGCGCATTTTTTTTTTGGTGATTTGGAGTATTCTTAAGTTATTTTAAATTTCAAACTAGGTTCTATTAAATCGCAAGCATTAAAGTTAAAATTCTTCTAATCAGTACGGTTCTTGGCTTTTAAACTTATGTTATTCTCTTGATAAAAATGAAAGCTCTTATCATTTTAATTAATATATTGTTGGTATAAACATAGTATTTTATATCTTCCTTTGTTTTTCAAGTGTAACTATCTACAACTGTTATCATATTCGCCAACCCACATTTGGTACTCGTTGAATTTTAAATATAAAACACATTTTGTGATGTAAATTATATTAATAAATCTTATGTTTAGGATTGAAGGGAGTATATAATATTAACATTAATGATGATTATGCCTTAAAAGTTATGTGACTAAATTAACATACTTATTTTATACTATAAAATAGATTTTATATTTAGGACCGGAGGGAGTATATAATATTAATATTAATGATAATTATGCCTTAAAAGTTACGTGACTAAATTAACATACTTATCAACCAAGGTTCAACGCGGCTGTGTTTGTTTGCCACAATATATATATATATAGAGAGAGAGAGAAACACATTTAAATGATGAGCACTCTAAGCTCATTAGATCTGGACTGTTTATATCTGATTTGAACAATCCAGATTTAAAATATTTAATTAATTATTTTTTAAAAAACTAATTTTTAAAAGAATGATAGTTAAGAGACCATTAGTATTTTAGATTCTATATATATTAAAATAATTATTTTGAATAAATAAAAAATCAAATCCGAACCATCAAAATGAGATATTTGATATTTGATATATTAACAAATTAAAAAAATTAAATGTAAGAAGCCAAAGAAACATTGAATCGGAAATATTTGATATTTAGTGCGACCCATTGAAAAGGAATAAGGAGAGAAAGTGAGATGAAGAAGTTGTTTTGTTTTTTTAGGAACGACAACAAAATTCAACAGCAACAAATACAGGAGAAAATAAACGGTCTGTGTGTGTATGGCGCTTGTGAAATCTGGTTTCCTTGTTGTTCAAATTTAAAAGGGACATATGAATTGTGGAGAAAGAGGTCGCTTTCGAGTGTTTGGATGATTATGAGAAATGAAAAATGGGAAGAGGGTTCCAGAATTGGATCAGCAGATTAGGGGATTGGCATAAATTGGCGGCCTCCAAAAAACCTCACACCCCAACAGGGGACCAACTCAGTAGTTTGCTTGTCATCGGCTTCTGCTTCACCCTATGCCCAAATGGTTGAAATCCCTTTATCTTCAAAATAATAGAGTCCAAGCCAAGTTCATATGCAATCCAGAAATTTTAAACTTTCAAGGTAATACAAAGTAATCCCGAGAACACCCGAATACTCCTGGCCTAGTGGTGACTGGCTAGGCCACAAGTGAGGCGAGTCTCTGCTCTTTGAGGGCGGGGGTTCGAATCCTCACTTGTTAAAAAGGGTACCGAAGAGGGCTTTACTTGTCGCCCGGCCCGAATCCGGACTAGTCAATCGCTCGGGTACAACTGGCCCAAAGAGGCTGGGGCCCAGAAAAGACGCGGTTGGATACCGGATGGTTTATAAAAAAAAAAAAGTAATCCCGAGAACACTTTCAAGTATTAAGCGTTACAGTCTGTACATTAATAATCCAAATGGATATTATGAAGACACCACAGATCTCAAATTCTGAATAGGCGGACTGGCACACGGCACGTATGGAAACCAGAGATGTTGAGGCTCCAAGCAATTACAAATGCTGTATCCATCAGATTGAACCATCCATATATTCCTTTATTTACAATTCTATCCTTTCCCATCTCTCTCCACTAGGGGTGGAAACAGGCCTGGCCTGTGGTGAGGCCTGTTGGCCTGAGCCTGGCCTGCGGCCTGTGAAAGGCCTTTTAATCGGCCTGAGCCTGGCCTGTAATCAGGCCTGGCCTGGCCTGTGGCCTGTTAAGAGGCCTGTTTTTTTAATAAATTTTAAACACACATAAATCAATTCAAAATTATAATAATTCAACCTAATTGATCTAAAATACAAACAAAAAATATGAAATTATCAAATTAACACAATTTGTAAAACATGTCTCCTTAGGTCCAAAAAAAAATCTAATATGAAAAATTATTAGAAAACATAATTTCATTTTGATATAAAAATATCACTTCATCCTATCTCTAGTATAAAAATTAGTTGATGACTAGATCTAGTTTAAAATATGAAACATCCTTAATCCCTTTTATATTTTAAATTTATCATTTATTCAGACTAATTTACTAACAAAATGATATTTGATCTTGTTGTTACACGTGGTTGTTTTTTTTTTAAAAAATATTACAGTTATTATAATTTATTTATTTATTTATTCAAATTAATTAAGTAACTATTATAATAAGAATTAGATTGAGCATACATATACACGGTCTAAAACATAATAGGTCAATTCTCTCTCTCTCTCTCTATATATATATATATTCTATAAGCATGGATCAAATAAATGAATGATGCTTTTTTTTTAAATGCACTTATGTTTTCTTTCTCTGTTTAAATATGTGTCATTATACATATATCAATTATTTTTATTATAGAGAATAGAAATGAAATGTCGCATGCAATAGGCTCTAGATAACACGTTTATGTGGATGGAGTTTTCTCAATTAACCAATTAGAATAACAAAATCCCTCCTATCAATTTATAATTTTAACATAAAAAAAAAAAGATAACAGGCCCAGGCCGCCTGACAGGCCTCACAGGCTTACTGTCAGGCCTGAGCCTGGCCTGATAAAGCAAACAGGCCTTTTTACAGGCCTGAGCCTGGTCTAATATCTAAATAGGCCAGGCCAGGCCAGGCCATTTACAGGCCAGGCCACAGGCCCCTGACAGGCCGCCTGGCCTATTTCCACCCTTACTCTCCACTCTCCTAATGGGAGAATCAGAACACCATCTCACTTGTTTACACCCTTTTTAGGGCATTACATGGGCACAACAAAGACCAATCCCCCGAGTGCTAGTCCCTTTCCATGTGGAGATTTTTTTCCCTCTAAAGTTTGAATAAAATCTCACTCTTTTACAAAAGCGTATCTTGACCCTGATAACTCTCAGAACCCAAATCATCTAGGCTTTGTTTCACCAAAAAGAAATCTCACTTTTTTATCTCCCAAATAGTGAACTAGTTTCTTTGCATGCAAAGAGCCGTGTTGGAAGGTACCAAACGATAAATCCCTGCATTTTTCTAAATAATCTGACTAATTACATATGTTAAAAAGAGTTTTCATTAATAAAGGAAATTTTCAATATGAATAATTAAGTGGTCGTTTTAGGAAAAATCAATAGATATGTATATATATAATAAATAATAATCTTCCCAATTATTTTTTTTAGTCTCCGTAAATTGGTTATTTATATCTCATAATTAGATGGGGCATAATAGCATATGATAACACCAGCAAAGGTGGTCTAGCCTCACAAGAACACGGTTGAAATTCTACTGCACCGCTGATGCAAAAGCTTTACTGATAAATAGCGCATACGAGGATATTATTTATTATAAAATGCTGAAATTACACTCAATAAAAATTCTTGGTTAAAATTTTTTGATAAATTAGTTAAAAAAATTTTATAATTAGTTAGAAATCCTATATAAAAAAAATTAATACTTACAAAACATATTATTATATTATGTTATACCGAAATTCTTATAATAAAAATAAGAGGAGAAACAAATAATAAATATAAGTGTAGAGATTAGCTAGTTATTATTAAAATAAGAGCAGAATAAAAGCAACTATTCAGGGAAAGATAGGCGCCACCATTTCTTCCATGGTCATGACATGTATGATACATGTGTTGACATTATCATGCTAATTCACATGAGAGCATGGAAACGAAAACAAACAAATAAACGGAAGTTTCTCGATTAAAAGACGTAACGTAGTACCTTCTAGCGTTTTCCTTTCCTTTTCCTTCCTCCTTTCTCTCTCTTCCCCCCTTTTCCCCTCTTTCATTCCATTTTCTCTCTCCTTCATAAATTCTCACGAGAACCTTCTAGAAATACTCTCATCGTTCCTCCATCCCTTCCCTCCTTCCACTTTCTCCCTCCTCTCTCTTCCTGGCTCACCTTCCAGCGATGCCTATCATGAACCCTCCCAAAAGCACCACTTTCAGGTAAATTTTTACGAGTTAACCTCATCTCAAGGTTGTATTTTTCGGGCTTTTCTGGCTTGTCTTATATGGCTCCGCCGCCGGTGGATCACAACGGCGAGTCCACGGCCGGTGACACCCAGAGATCTATCCCAACGCCGTTCCTTTCCAAAACGTATCAGCTCGTCGACGATCACATCATAGACGATGTGATTTCCTGGAACCAAGACGGATCTACTTTCATCGTTTGGAACCCTACCGAATTCGCCAGAGATTTGCTTCCTAAATATTTTAAGCACAACAACTTCTCCAGCTTTGTTCGCCAACTCAACACCTATGTAATTATCATATATCGTCTTAGTCTTCTTCTTTTCCAATCCGTCGAATCTTTCATTTGATTCTATTTTTATTATCTGTATATATGCAGGGATTCAGAAAGGTTGTGCCTGATCGGTGGGAATTCTCGAACGAGTGTTTCCGCAGAGGCGAGAAACGACTTCTGTGCGAAATACAACGACGGAAGATTTCAACGCCTTCGACGCCGACAACGACGTCCCCGGCAGCGAAGGCCGGAGCCACTGCGACTGTGGCGGTGCCGGGGCCGGTGTCGTTGACTTCTATACCGACGGCGATGCCGATCATCTCGCCATCAACCTCAGACGAGGAGCAGGTGATTTCGTCGAGTTCGCCGTCCTCGAAAGCTCCGGCCGAGCTCATAGACGAGAACGACAGGCTGCGAAAAGAGAACGTGCAGCTGTCGAAGGAATTAGCGGACATGAGATCTCTCTGTAACAATATTTTCTCTCTATTATCTAACTACGCCAACAACCAAATCGATGGCGCTCTGCAAGGAAAAGACACCGTGAAACCGTTGGATTTAATGCCATCGAAACGGAACTCCGGGGAGGAGGAGCCGCCATCGGTGGAAGAGTTAAATCCGAAGCTGTTTGGGGTGGCGATTGGTGCGAAGAGAGCGAGGGAAGCGAGCGGGGGAGCGGAGGAGGAGGACACACTGCTAAGCTTGCATCAGCCGGGGCCAGCGGAGGTGAAATCTGAGCCGTTGGATTGTCAGAACCATCGAGAGAACCAGGAGACGCCGTGGTTCAATCATTGCGACAGAGCAAATAGTGTGTGTAATTAGCACACACCAGTGAGGGAATACGGTTAGATTAGAATAGGAACGGCGCAGAGAATCCGAGTCCCCACAAACGGAGACGCACGTACGAGCCAAGGGTCACGTGCGCGGGGACCGATTCCGAGAAGCTTCTCAGAGGCGCATTCACAAGAGTCTGCTTCTTTGAAAGAAAATTAGAAAACGATACCCTCTCTCTCTCTCTCTTCTTTCTGTAGTTAACTATTTTGTTTTTTCTATTTTTGCATTGAATTGAACTTTTTATGTAGATCCATATTTTTATTTAAATTCGTCGCCCCAAGTAAGTGAAATACATGTGCGATGTGCCCTTTTTATTTCATGTCTCTTGCTTCATTGACTAGTCACGTTGAAGACGAACATTTTGGTTGAGTGATGTGTTCATTAAATGAGCAGCCAGATAGTGGTCACGCATCTAACATCCCATGGATAGGAAATGGTAGGTGATCATGGCGAGGACAGGTAGCGGTTTGAGAACCTTGCAATAATTATCATTGGAATTTTTCGTTTAACAAGTCAATGATAATAATATGAGGTTATTTGAGATCGTGTTCAAAATTGTTTATAGATATATTTTATGTAGGCTGAGATAAAATTTTTTTACATACTTATTTTATGTTCTCAATTAAATAGTTACTTATAAATTATTTGAAATCTTTTAATCGTATAAAGAGTGATGTATTAATCGTATAACTCTAATTATTTAATTTTGTGAAGGTAGAAGAGAATGAGATTTGAATGTTGGCTCACCTGTCAATAGCAGCAAGAAGCTTCCGTGTTTATTGTTTCCATCTCTTTTTTTTTTTGTAAAACTGAAAATAAAAGAAGGGGGTAGATAGAGTTGGATATGATATGGATGAAGGAGGGGCTTAGTTGGCTTTCGCTTTCAAAGGGTGAACAGGGGAAATAGAAGAAGAGGGTCTGCGGGTACTTTCCTTTTCTTTGATTTGGGAGGAGCAGCCAAACGCAGCAGGATTTATTATTAATTAAACAATTAGTATTAGGGGTTGCGTAAAGAGGGCGGAAGTAGGCTCCAGAGTTCAATGATTGACCCTCCACCACCCCCGTAAAAAGTCAAACTTCCTGGCCTTCCTTGATTACGCTTTCTTATTCCAAAAGGGCGTTTAGAAATGAGAAACTTCATTATAAAATGTCGCTTTCGCTTTACATTACTTTATTCAAAACCACTTTTTGTTTTTTGAGGTGTTTTATTCAAAATCACTTTTTTTTTTTTGAAGTACAAGAGAGCGGGTTCAAACCCCCACACACACCCAACACACACATTCAAAACCACTTTAAATGAGTGTTTTTATACTTCACGGGACCAAGTTACTATTAGTACTATTTAAGGAGAACTTCTATAAAATCTCAAATAATAAATGTAATCATTAAAAAATCTCAGTAACAACAACATAGTATGTAATAACAAATTTCATAATAATAAATAACAACTACTTAGTTATTATTCAAATTTATTGATAATTATTTTCTTTTCATGGACCTCATTATAATTTTTGCAAATATTTTATTTGTTCTTAATAGAAGTAACTTTATTATATTTATTATATTATCTTCGGTCTTAAATATAAGCTCTCATTTGTTAATTTATGGTCATATGGATTATTTTTTAGGCATGTATATATTAAATGAAAATACAAATATTAAAATTTAAAAGAGTTGATAATATTTATTCTTTTTTTTATTTTGTTAGAATGTACTTAAAAATGCCTTATAAATAAAGAAAAAGTGTAACTATTCGGCTAGAAAATAGCAAAGAGCAAGGATACTGAAATTACGCCGTGGAAGAATGGATCAATTAAAGGATGTAATTTTGGTCAATTATCTTAAATATCAAAACCATAGGAACAAGCTGTTGATCACTTCTCTGCGTACGCCAAGCTTTCTTCAATGTACTTATCTGACAATTTAGGAAAGTTTACTCACAAGAATTCTCTTAATTGCTTTGCATGTAAACAAGAGAATTAAACCTTGAAAAGGTTTCATCAATATTCAATATAAAATATTACTCCCCCCTTTCTAAATATAAGACCCTTATATGTAGGACCGGAGGAGTATTTATTATTTATAAATTATAAATAATTCAACCGACTGTTACCGATATAACATGGCCCAAAACCACACTTGACCTACAATTGGTGGCTCGGCCCAACAAACCACAGTTTCGGCCCAGACAGACAGGCATTTTTTTAATGCCCGAACGTGGTTGATTCTAAAGTTTTAACGCTTTTCGTAAGGGAAAAAAAAAATGATCCTTTTGGGGCTTGTTACTTAACACCTAATGTCTGGTTAAAAAAAAAAAAAGCTGATGAGAAATGAATTCTCACTGCCTACTTTTTTCATGACTATTTGCCTACTTGTCATGGTTGTTGTTGGATGAAGTTTAGAGCGATAAAATTTAATAGTAGTATTTTATAAAACTATCAATGAAATATTATATTATAGTAAATAGATGGGTAAATGTAAACTCATTAAAGTTTTATTTATAAGTTATGGGCACATATAGTTTACTCACAAGATATATTCTCATCTTTTGATCCTTGTATATTGTAAATCGTTTCATAAGACATTATGGGCACATATAGTTCTTCAAGATTGCTTCTCATCATGTAAGAAACATTTCGGAGGAATCAGTCAACATGATGAAAAGATTTTGATGTAAATTAACTACACATGCGATTACAATAATACTCAGCTATTTGTTAGATCAGTTCACATATTATTTCCTATCTGAATAACCATACTACCACCCCTGTTGACTTGGATATTCTAAACTACTCTCCTTTGATACCCTTCAAAAGCTTGAACACCTGAAGCATGGTGGGCCTGTTTGCAGGATTGTCAGAGAGGCACACACAAGCAATCTGCAGCATCCGAAGCATCATCTGCTTCGAATCGGCATCCAGAACCTTTGGATCAAGAACATCAGCAGCCTGTCCCTTCTTGATCTTCAGAAAAACCCACCCCACCAGATTCCCACCTTCAATGTCTTTGAAATCAGGCCCTGTTGGTTCTTTTCCAGTCACCAGCTCAAGCATAATGACCCCAAAACTGTAGACATCTCCTCTTGTTGTGGACCTACCACTCTGTCCATACTCAGGTGGAATATACCCAAATGTTCCAGCAATGTCAGTGGTGATGTGTGACTCACAGGCACTGATAAGCCTAGCAAGTCCAAAGTCTGCAACTTTAGGCTCAAAATCTTCATTAAGCAATATGTTGCTAGCTTTAATGTCTCTGTGAATGATGTGGGGGATGAACCCGTGATGAAGGAAAGCTAACCCTCTGGCTGCACCAGTTGCAATTTTGTACCTTTTTTTCCAGTCAAGCACTTCAAGGGCTCCGCCAGTCCTGTTTCTCAACCAAAGATCTAAGCTTCCATTCACCATGTATTCATAAACAAGGAGTTTCTCTTCACCCAAGGAGCAATAGCCAAGAAGTGGAACAAGATTCTGATGCTTCACCTTGCCTAAAGTTTCCATTTCAGCCATAAACTCACGATGGCCCTGCGTTTTAGCTTCGCTCAGCTTCTTTACTGCAACTGTTTTGCCATTGGGTAGAGTAGCCTTGTATACAGTCCCAAAACCTCCATCTCCAATTATGTTAGTCTTGCTGAAGTTACCAGTAGCTTCAAGGATATCCTCCAAAGTTAGTTTCAGAAGAGGCTGCTCAAACATTGCAACATTTATACTCAGAGGTTCCTTCGATCTGCTACTGCTCAAGAAATAAAGATTTTGATCCACGTAGTTGTTTAGCTTGTGTTCCTCAAGGTCTTCTGGATCATTTTGCCTCCTAACAATCCATCTATGTAGAACAAATGCAACGCTCAGAGTCATCAGTGTGATTGTAATGGCAATCCCAGCAAGTTGCCAGGCATTAGACAATGAAAATCTACCAATGCCTTTGATTGGGCAATTGACGCCCAAAATCCGCCCACAGAGATTTTTGTTTCCTGAAATTCTAACTCTTGATAGGTTCTGGCAAATACCGCTTCTGGGTATAGGCCCTTCCAATCTGTTTCGAGACAAATCAAGGTAGTCCAGATTACCTAGGCTGCAAATTTTCTCAGGAATCTTTCCATATAACCTGTTCCCAGAAACATCGAGGTACTCCAGCTGCACCAGATTCCCAAGTTCCGATGGAATCTCTGCCATGAACATATTTCCATGAACATCCAAATTTGTCAAGAAAGAAAGGTTTCCCAAATAACTTGGCAAATCCCCAGTGAAGCAATTAACGCTCAAATTCATTGTCTCAATCCTCCATGTCATGGTATTAGAGAAGAGCACCCCTATTTGGCCAGAAAGCTTGTTCTGCTGCACATAAAGACCAACAAGGCTTTGAAGGCCCGATAGAGAGGATGGAAGCTGGCCACTAAGCTCATTAGAGCTCAAATCTAAGTGAGTCAGCTCTTTCATGTTCCCGCAGCTAATTGGAATCGGACCGGACAACTTATTTCCTGTTAAATTCAGCTTCACCAAACTGTCCATTTTCCCAAGACTTTCAGGAATGGTTCCATTAAGTTGATTATGTCCCAGATATAGTCCTTGTAGCTTGAGGGAATCTCCAAGTTCTGGTGGAATGGAACCTGACAAGAAGTTACCAGACAAATCTAGGGTTGTAAGATTTGTCAGGCGAGAGAGCGAGCTTGGGATACTCCCAGAAAGCATGTTGTTGCTGAGCAAAAGATCCACAATGACCATACAGCTCCCCAGTTCATCAGGTATAATCCCAGACAGTTTGTTATGGGACAGATCAAATACTCCAAGGTGTTGAACAAAGCTCAAATCAGGGATGGCAACTCTGCTAAAATATGAAGATCGTCTTGCAGGAATAGACCCAGAAAGATTATTATGGGACAGAACCAGACATTGTAATTGGCTCAGTTCACTAGTTTATCTGGAATGGATCCATTCAGTCGGTTATTTCCAAGGTCTAAGGTTTGTCAATGAAATGCAATCTCCTAGCTCTAACGGAATATTCCCTTCAAGAACATTTCCATTCAAATTAAGAACAGACAGACCAGTAAGATTTCCAATTTCCTTGGGTATAGTACCCGTCAGTTGATTGTTATTAAGGACAAGCCTCTCTAGAAGAACTGCGTTCCCAATCTCCCCAGGAAGAGAGCCCTGCAGAAGGTTATTTGCTGCAGAAAACTCCATTAGAGTTGATGAATTCCACAGACTTGAAGGTATGCTTCCACTGAAATTGTTTGAGTCAAGATCAAGCACCATCAAAGGAAGCTCTGAAAGGTACTGAGGGATAGAACAGTGATCTGATTTTCATCAGTTGTAATTGGATA